GCAAGGAAGGTTGTGGCATCTGCATAACACAGGCTGTTAATGAGTCTTCCTCCAATCCTGATGCCCTGTTCTTCATATAGTCCAGCTTCTCGGATTATTTGCTCAGCGTACAGATTGAATAAGTATGGTGAAAGGATACAACCCTGATACACGACTCTCTAGACTTTAAACCACACAACATCCCCTTGTTCTGTTCAAATGACTGCCTCTTGGTCTAAGTACAGGTTCCTCATGAACACAATTAAGTGTTCTGAAATTCCCATTCTTCCCAATGTTATCCGTAATTTGTTACGATCCACCCAGTCTAATGCCTTCGTATAGTAAATAAAACACAGGTAAACGTCTTTCTGGTGTTCTCTGTTTTCAGCTATGATCCATCTCACATCAGCAATGATATGCCTTGTTCCATGTCCTCTTCTGAATCTGGCTTGAATTTCTGGCAGTTCCCTGTTGATGTACTTCCGCAACCGTTTTTGAATGATCTCCTACAAAATTTTACTTGTGTTTGTTATTAATGATATTGTTCGATAATTTCTGCATTCTGTTGAATCACCTTTCTTTGGAATGGGTACAAATATGGATCTCTTTCAGTCAGTTGGCCAGGTAGCTGTCTTCCAAATTTCTTGGCGTAGAGGAGTGAGTGCTTCCAGTGCTGTATCCATTTGTTGAAATATCTCCAACTGGTATTCTGTCAATTCCTAGACCCTTGTTTTTTGCCAGTGCCCTCAGTACAGCTTGGACCTCTTCCATTAGTGCCATTGGTTCTTGATCATATGCTACCTCCTGAAACGGCTGAACATCAATCAATTCTTTTTGCTACAGTGACTCTGTGTATTCCTTCCATCTTCTTTTGATGCTTCCTGCGTTGTTTAATATAGTCCCCGAAGAATCCTTCAATAATGCAATTTGAGTCCTGAGTTTTTTCTTCAGTCCGTTCAGCTTGAAAAGTGCTGAGCATGTTCTACCCTTTTGGTTTTCTATCTCCAGGTCTTTGCGCATTTCATTATAATACTTTACTTTGTCTTCTCGAGTTGCCCTTTGGAATCTTCTGTTCAGCTGTTTTAGTTCATCATTTCTTCCTTTCCCTTTAGATTCTACATTCAAGAGAAATTTTAAGAGTCTCTTCTGACATCCATTTTGGTCTTTTCTTTCTTTCCTGCCTTTTTAATGACCTCTTGCTTCCTTCATGTATGATATCCTTGATGTCATTCCACAGCTCATCTGGTCTTTGGTCATTAGTGTTCAATGAGTCAAATCTATTCTTGAGATGGTCTCTAAATTCAGGTGGGACACACTCAAGTTTGTATTTTGGGTCTCGTGGACTTGTTCTAATTTTATTTAGCTTCAACTTGAACTTGCATATGAGCAATTGATGGTCTGTTACACAGTTGGCTCCTGGCCTTGTTCTGACTGATGATATTGAGCTTTTCCATCATCTCTTTCCACAGATGTAGTCAGTCTGATTCCTGTATATTCCATCTGGTGAGGTCCATGTGTATAGTCACCATTTATGTTGGTGAAAAAAGGTATTTGCGATGAAGAAGTCATTGGTCTTGCAAAATTCTATCAAGTGATCTCTGGTGTCGTTTCCATTGCCAAGGCCATATTTTCCAACTGCCAATCCTTCTTTGTTTCCAACTTTTGCATTCCAATCGCCGGTGATTATCAATGCATCTTGACTGCATGTTTGATCAATTTCAGACTGCAGAAGTTGGTGAGAACCTTATATTTCTTCATCTTTAGCCTTAGCGGTTGGTGCATAAATTTGAATAATGGTCGTATTAACTGCTCCTCCCTGTAGGAGTATGGATATTATCCTATCACTGACAGCGTCGAACTTCAGGATAGATTTTGAAATATTCTTTTTGATGATGATCACTACGCCATTCCTCTTCAATTTGTCATTCCCGGTACAGTAGACCGTATGATTGTCTTATTCAAAACAACCAGTACCAGTCCATTTCAGCTCACTAATGCCTAGGATACCAATGCTTATGTGTTGCATTTCATTTTTTATGACTTCCAATTTTCCTAGATTCATAATTCGTACATTCCATATTCTGATATTAATGAATGTTTGCAGCTGTTTCTTCTCATTTTGAGTCGTGCCACATCAGCAAATGAAGGTCTCGAAAGCTTGACTCCATCCATGTCATTAAGATCTATTCTACTTTGAAGAGGCAGCAGTACCCTAGTCGTATTTTGAGTTCTTTCCAACCTGAGGGGCTCATCTTCTGGCACTCTATCAGACAATGTTCTGCTGCTATTCATAATGTTTTCACCAATATTTTCAGAAGTAGACTACTGGGTCCTTCTTCCTTGTCTGTCTTAGTCTGGAAGCTCTGACAAAACCTGCCCACCAAGGGTGACCCTCCTGGTATTTGAAATCCCAGTGGCAAAGCTTCCAATATCACAGCAACACACAAGCCACCACAGTACAACAAACTGACAGACACGTAGTGGATTTTTCAAATACAATCATTTAATGGAAGATGAATAAAGCCCTAGAGCTTATGTTCAATTCTATTTGAAAGACTCACCAGGATTTTATAAATTATTAACTGCATTGGGAAAAACACACAAGTATACAGTTTTAATTAATAGCTACAATTAAAAAACAGGTGGACTCCTCAGCATTCAAATGGCTGCCCAAAAGTCATGTCCCCAGGGAAGTCTTCCTGGAGCTCCCAGACTGGGTCAGACCCTCCAAGAACCCATCATTTCTGCTTGTTATGCTCACTGCACTTTTGGTCACACATTTATGTGTGGTTACTTGATTCATGACTGTCATGGATTGAATTGTGCCCCCAAAAATTCATGTCAAATTGGCTAGGCCGTGATCCCCAGTACTGTATGGTTGGCCTCGATTTTATGACCTGATGTAATTATGTGTTGTAAATCCTAGCCTCTATGCCTGTGGTTATGGTCCCATTTGGAAGTGGTTGTCCCTTATGTTAAGGAGGCATGATTAAGTTATGTTAATGAGGATTAGGATGGGATGCACCACCCTTGCTTGAGTCACATCTTTTATCTTACAAGAGATAAAAGGAGAGAGAAGCAAGTAGAGAAGGCGGATCTCACTACCACCAAAAAAGAAGAGCCAGAAGCAGAGTGTGTCCTTTGAATCTGGGGTCCCTATGCTGAGAACCTCCTACACCCCGGGGGAAGATTGATGCCAAGACACATGGAAATCTCCAAGGAACACGGGGCTCACAGTTGTTGAAAGGCAATAAGGACTTTCCTTCAGAGCTGACAGAGAGAGAAAGTCTTCTCCTATAGCCGGCTCCCTGATTTTGGACTTCTAGCCTCCTAAACTGTGAGAGAATAAATTTCTGCTTTCTAAAGCCATCCACTTGTGTAATTTCTGTTATAGCAGCACTAGATAACTAAGATAGTGACTGCTTCCTCCACTGGATTTTAACTCCACGAAGGGGCAGGAACAGCCCAGTGATTGATGCCCCATAAGTCTTTGTTCAGGCCAAATGGGGGTGGAGGGAAAATTCAGACCCATGAACCATCCCATATAAGGAGGTAAGTGTTTATTGGAGGGCTGCTTGGAAGATGCTGGAAAGCTACAGAAAATTTCATAAAGAGGTCAAATAGAGCTGAACATTAAAGGGTGAATAGGAGTTCATCAGACAGGAGGAGGGCATTCCAATCATAGGGAACAGCATAAGCAAAAGTATGGAGTGCAGCTTTTTAGAAAAACAGCTCAAAGGCTTGGGTGAGGGTGGTGGAAGAAAATGATGACGGCTTTCTCTCTGTTGAATTCCTACTATGTATCAGGCATGGTTTCTACATGACTTCATGTAATCCTCAGGGCTCCTCAGCCCCATGAGGTAGATATTATTAACTCTAATGTATGCTGAATTGTGTCCCTCAAAAGATACGTTAAAGTCTTAACCATTGTGACCTGTGAATGTGACCTTATTAGAAGTAGGGTCTTTGCAGATGTAACCAAGTTAAGATGAGGTCATATCAGATTAGGGTGGACCTAATTCAATGATTGGTGTCCTTAGAAAAAGACGGAAATTCAGACAGACACGGAGGGGAGAAGGCCATGTGAAGATAGAAGCAGAGATCGGAATGATGCATCTACAAGCCAAGGACTTCCTGGCCACCACCAGAAACTAGCAAGAGGCAAGAAATGATTCTTTTCCTATAGCCTTCAGAGAAAGCATGGCCCTGCTGACATCTGGATTTCAGACTTCCAGCCTCCGGAACCGTGAGAAAATACATTTCTATTGTTTTAAGCCATCCAGTTTTTGGTATTTTATTACGGCAGCTGTAGGAATCAAATACGCCCCCTGAAACACAGGAAGAGGCTGAGGCTCAGAGGGGCTAAGTGACAGTCCTGTCACCCAGCTACGAAGTGTCTTGCCTGGCTGTCTCGTGTCCCAGTGTTCTATGTTGCAGAAGACTCAGTAGACAGTTACTGAGTGTTTCTGAGTCCCGGTGGGGTCTCCTCACTCCCACCCCTCCAGGCTGGTGTGGGGGAAATGGTGATGTCAGCAAAGCACCTTGGCCAGAGTTTCCAGACTTCAGCCCCCCGACTGTGCCCCTGGCCCAGAGTCCAGAGACTTCCCGGATTTGAGGAGTCTGCTCAGGCCTGCGTGCCCCTCTGCAGGCCCTTAGCATCCCCTGCCCTCTTCAGGTCTTCTTTCTTCAGTACTCGCCATGGATCTCAGCCCTTACAATGGGAAATGAGCACAGCCCTTCTCCAGTCTGCCTTCTCCAGACTGTGGGTGCTCCCAGGGCTCAGGCTGGGTCTCCAGGACCCTGCCTGTGCCAGGACCGAGGAGATGCCTGCTGAAGACACGCATGTAGAAGGGATAGGCAGGCCTGGAATGGACTCTCAGCTTTCTTACCTCAGGGAGCAGCAGAAGAATGAGGAGCCAGCCCCCAGTTTAGTGTGAAGCCCAGCTCCTCCCACCCCAAACCAGAAGACACAGCATGGCCACCTCTGGCTCACCTATGAGGCTGTAGGGAAGTCACTTTACCTCTCCAAGTCTCAGTGTCCTCATCTGCTGGGTGCATGTCCACAAAAGGCACTGTGAGCTGCGAATTGCTGGACACACCCGGGGGATGACTGTGGGTGCCACTCAGGCTTCTTACCACCAGGCCAGTCAGGGTCCCCTCCTCCCAAACACGCCCATCATTGGGAATTCACTGCAAGAGGCCAAGGATCGGCTGCCTGAGAGAACTCCCCAAGCTGAAGCCCTAAGTAGCCCGTGTGAGCACATGGTGCCCCCTTGTGGTCACAGGCAGACCCTGCAATGCTGCGTTTTCTGGGGCAGGAGACCCACTCACTCTTCAGCTGAGCTCTGCACTTGTTAACGGGTTCTAATGGCAGGCCTACCTTTGACAAGAGGGGGGAGCCCCAGGTCCTTTTTGTGCCTTAAGTTGGGGCTCTGGGGTCAGATAGACTTGGCCTTGAATCCCAGCTGCTATGCCAGCCTGCCTCCTTCTAATGATGCCCAGGGAGCTGGACTAGCGCCTCCCCTGTTTTGCCATCCTTTGGGTGTCTGGCTGGGCCTAGAGCTCCTATCTGGATGCTCTGAGGAAGAGAGAGACTGATGTAGCTCATGGGCCAAAGACCCAAGCCAAGGGCTCACCAAGGGGAACTCACTTTTTCTAAAGCACAGTGCCAGGTGCCTTACAGTGCTGAGATGGGTGTTGTGATCCCATTTTAGAAAGAGGGAAACAGGGGTTCAGAGAGAGGCTGTGACATTCCCAAAGACATCTCACTTCTAGAATTTAAACCAGGTCTCTCTGGCTCCAAACCTCAGGTACTGGCCTTAGCTCACATCTTCCCAAATTATCCACCAAGAGCCAACAATCCTGGGAGTGCATTTATTGGATCACAAAACCCTTCTACCTGCCAAGGGGAGAGGAAAACACGGCCAAGTGGGTGTGGGTGGGGCACATAATCCTGACATCCAAATGGACAGAGGTAAGGGGCATGGCAGGAGCCCTGAGAGCTAGGGCTGCCACTTGTTTGGGTTAGGACCTTGGAAGATCATGATGATGTGGGATTGGGGAAACTGCCTCCGTGGCTTCAATCCCAGGGAGATGGACATTTTCAGGCCCAGGCAATGGCTGGGGCCTGCAGTAAGTTGGAATGTTCCCCTACGTTCCAGTAGGGTTGGCAGTCTTCCCCAGAAAGAGCACGGAATCTGTGTTCTGCTCGTAAACTATCATCAGAAACGGTCTGTTTAACTTGACCTCTACCGGCATCTGCACGGGCAGAATCAGTGATCCAGAGCCTGCAGCACCTTCTGTGCCCTTCTCATCCATCTCCAGCCTGGCCTTGTGGACCACCTAAAGGAACCAATGAGGAGGTGTCAGTGCTGGTCAAGACATTCAGAGACCATGGCTGGTTAAGAGGCCGGCAAGAGGCCCAGAAAGAGGGAGGCCGTGGCCAGAGTTGCCCACAAAAGAATCACTTGGCTGGTGCCACCCACCCCCACCCTGGGGCTCCTGGCTTTTCTGCTGCCATTGTTGAAGGGTGTTCAACCAGAAGATGCAGCGTGATTGGGAATATGATGCAGGTGGGGGCATCCATCATGGGGGCTCAGAAGACGGAGTGGGGTTTGCTCTCCTTCCTATGAATTTCAAGGAAGTGTCAACCATAATTAATGGCAGAAAGGGGCTGTTGACCCTGAGCTAGATGGAAAGGAGGTTGTGGCATCTCCATGCTGAGGCTTCGAGCTCCCTCCATGCTCGGCTTTCCCATTGGGTGGATGGTTGAGGGGGAGACGGATTCCTGGTTAGTTGTTTGAGACAACTCAGGCCCCCAGGTACTCCCCAGTGGCATCAGCATCTGTGACTTGGTGATTGAGACTGAGAAATTTATGGCCCTCTGATGAAAACTGATATACTTCATTCTATTGTACAAAATTCTAACCATTTTACTTGCAGAAAACAAGCAAATACCCCGTGTTTACCTGATGGAGTCACAGCTATCGGCTCACCTAACTATAGAAAAGAGATGAGCTGCTGAATGCAATACAGGCCTACAGAGAAGGGGTGGCTGGCAGTGAATGTTTATGGAACATCCTTCAGAGGAAATCTTAAAGGCAAGAAAATCCTGTCTTTCCTCTTCTTGCAAATAGGAGAACAAATCATTACTGTATTTTAGCTACGAAGGGGTCTTCCCCAGTAAATTGGAAGAAACGTAGATGGCGGCTAACTCTCATTTTATAAAGAATGAGGGGGTCCAGATAAGGAAACTGAGTCACCTAAGGTCACCCAGCTCCCCCTAGCCCAGGTGGAACGACAGCCTTGAAATCTGGCTTCAGAACCCGAGGCTCTGTGCACTCCCCACGGCTGGGGGGCTGGCCGCAGGGTGCTCTGGTACGTCCCTACAATAGGCAGCAGGCTGAGTCCCTCAGGAGGGAGCTACTTCAACAGCACAGTGGAGCACCCCTAAATGGTGGCATGGGAGCCGGGTACTTGTTCTTCCTGGGCCTGGTGTTTCTGTTCTAAAAGAGAAAGATGCCCTTCCGCCATGAGGCCTGAGAACCTGGTTGGGGAAGGGCCTCTTCAGAGGAAAGAGCTCTCCCAGACTCCCGTGTCAGCAATTTTTTACGCTTTGGGTCCCGCTGGATCCCCAACAAGAAAGCATGCTTGGGCAGGACAAGCAGAATGCAGTGAGGAAGAGGAGGCCGCTTTACTATAGCACTCCAGAGTTTGTACAACATTTGCACATCCATTTCCTTACATGATACTCACAGGGACCCCCAGAAGTAGGCTCAAATATCCCCCACGGTACAGATAAAGATACGGGCTCAGAGAGATGAAGTGGCCCATGGTCCCCAGCTAGGAAACTGAGACCCCAGCCCCAGGTGGTGGGGAGCCGGTGGGAGAACCCTCAGCCAAGAAAGCCGGAGTGGGTGTGCCTTCCAAGGGCCCCTTTAAGCAGTTGCCTTTGAGTCAATTCTGACTCATGGCGACCCCATGGTGTCAAGGTAGAACTATGCTCCAAAGGATTTCAGTGGCTGATTTTTTGAAAGTTCATTACCAAGCCTTTCTTTCTTTTTTTTAAAAAAATTCTTTTTTGTTGTACTTTAGGTGAAGGTTTACAGAACAAATAGTTTCTCATTAAACAGTTAGTACACATATTGCCCTATGACAATGGTTAACAACCCCATGACATGTCAAC